ATTTGGAGGGGGCAAAGTTACAAAAATAGCCCCAACTTTTTTCTGGGTTAATAATTTTTTTTTTTTATGAAATTATAAGAATTTATAGTTTTTTACGAAAAATAGGTAATCTTGATTTGAATTGCTCAGATGCACCATTTTCGAGAAAAATGCATTTATAAATAAATTACTTTGCATATTATACACATCTCATATTTTCATTAAAACTTTGTAGTAGGCTTTGGAAAAAAGTGACGTTTTTTTGTTTTTTTGTTTTTTTTACAACACTTCCTATGTTCCAGATATAAATATGTGATTTTTTTACTACATGATGCTTAAAGTTGAAAAAACGAGAAAATTCGATGGAAATCAAACTTTGGCCTCGAATAACTCTGGAAGAAATCAATTTATAGAAAAATTATAAGAGACATTTTTTATAGAGCGTTAAATTTACTATAAAAATCTAAGATGTTCCTTGCCATAAGTTGATTCGATATAGACGTATAAAATTCCAAAGTTAAAAAAAAAATTTCCTATGTTATTTAAATGGGAAATAGAAAATTGCGATCCGCGACCTCTAAATCTTCAAATTAAAAGCTCAAATTTTAACAAGGTCTTCTTGTTTTGACATCCTCTGAAAGAATTTGCTGACCATTTGAAGAAAAAGAAAAAGTCGATTTTTTTGAAACACCCTAATATATATATATATATATATATATATATATTGATGGTTTTCCGGGATCTGCTCCGAGTTGTCATTATTGTATGTCTGACGACGTTTCGGTACAATCTCATGTAACATCTTCAGGTCTTATCTGCTGGGATGCTGTTGCTGCTCTGCTGCAAGTTCATACATATAACGCCAATGGAAATCTAAAGCAGCAGAGCAACAACAGCAGCCCAGCAGATAAGAGGGTACATGAGATTGTACCGAAACGTCGTCAGACATACGGTTCTTTTAAGAACCATAAACCGACAACACAGAGCAGATGCCGGAAAACCATCAATACATATAACGCCCGTGAAAACCTAAAGCAGAACATTGATATCGTTAATTTGCGTGGCGTTTTGGTGGTTGTAAGAGCTGGTTTTTATGCAGTTGGTAGTCTCTGTGTATCGTCTCTTGTGCTGAGGTTTCTTGGTCCTGTGTTCGATGCTAGCCAAGACCCTTGGTTTTTCAAAGTCAATTTCATGGGAAGTTTTTCGGACGTGTTCAGCTAAGAAAGATGTTTTAAGACTGCGTTTCGATGTTCTTCACGTCTAACGTTGATACGTCTATTGGTCTGTTCAACGTAGCTTCCGTCACAATTATTACAAGGAGTTTCGTACACCCCTTGTGCGTCTAACTCTATTTTGGTTTGGCGTTTGGAAGTATTTGACCGATCTTTCTTGTGGCGGTAAATGTTTTTTGAGAACTTTGCCTATTCTCTCGGTTGTCCCTTTCACGTAGGGAAGGAAGGCCTTCGAAGTTGGTTTGTTGATCTCGTCCTCTGTGGTATTTAACCGGCGTCGTGGTCTAAGAGCCTTTTTGATGATGGTTTTGGAAAATCCGTTTTGCTGTAGCGTCGTTTGGAATTTCAGGTCTTCTTGTTTCTTGTGGTCATCATCCGCCAGCCTTTCGCGTGACAAGTGTCTTAATGATTGACTGCAGTTGTGACGGGTGGTGGTGAGACTGGACGTGTGCCATTATTTATCTTGATTATGAAGACATCCAGAAAAGGTAATTGGTGTTCTCTAAGTTTCCATTGTAAACTTAATCTTTTTGGGAATTCTGGTCCAGGAATTTCTTCAGTTTCTCTTCTCCATGGGTCCAGATGACAAATGTGTCTTTTACGTACCGTAGCCATAACTTTGATTTTAGTGTTGCCGTTTCGATTGCTCGTACTTCTATGTCTTCCATGAATAAGTTGGCTATTGCTGGCGATATTGGGAAATGGACTTTGAAAAAACAAGGGTCTTGGCTAGCATCGAATACAGAACCAAACGTACCATTCGTGAAGCCATTGAAATGGGAAAATGTCCAAAAAACCTCAATAAAAGAGGCGATAATTTATAAAAAAAAATACATTTAAGTGTATATCTTCACAACGGCTACAAACTCAATTTTAATTTTTCTTGCAAAGTAAAGCTAATAATATCACTATTTAAAAAAAAATGTTTGGAAGATTATATATTTTTTAAGTTGAAAACGCCAAATGTACCAACGTGATACCTACACATATTTTAGTTTTATGGCAACCAAATCCTTCTCGTTGTAAAGTAACATTTCTAGTTAGCAAATACACATAATAATACAATTAAACTAAACGCGAGCAGTTAAAATGATTGGTAAAGCGCTCGAAGCATCAGCAGTAGTTCAAGATAAGCTCGCGAGCATTAGCAAACAGCGAGATGTAGCGTATTGCGGTCTGTAAATCCAGTCGTCGCGACGAGGGAAAACAAAACCGTTTCGACGTCGTTGCCCACTTTGCCCTACAAGCCTCTCATTCGCATCGCTAATTGCCTATGTTTTAGCAATGTTCACTTTTGAGAAGTAAACTCTTATTTTTGTGAAACTTTTTTGGTGGCGTTCTGATATTTGACGAGAATGGAGAGTGAATTGGAAAAAATGTAACGTTAATTTTTTTACCGAATACAGTGACGGAGATTGTTTAATATACAGTATGTCCCCGGATAGGGTTGCCAAGAGGAGAATCTTCTTTATTTTTCATTTTACGAGAAAAATGTATTCTTCATAATAGTTTTTGCTTGTTTCAAAATGGCTAAATCAGTTTTCACCGTTTCAAATTTCCTTTCCGTTAAAGAGAAACATGAAATAATAGGTCCTTTTAGTTGAATATTTGTTTAAGTCCCAAACATTACTTTTCGTTTTCATGGCAAAACAGTTAACACGACTATTGTTTATTAAGTTTTTATTGCAACAATTCAACAAAAATCAAGTCGTTTCATTGTCAGTCTAAAACGAACATTTATTAAGTTTTTATTACAATTCAACAAAATAATTAAACTACTCGAAGGAGGATCATTCGCATAAACTATTTGTTTCAAACGGACCCAAAGGTAAAAATCTGTAATAGTCAAATCAGGGCTCCTCGGTAGCCATAAAACAGGACCATTTCGGCCGATCCAATTCTCTCCAAATTGCTGATTTAACCATTCTACAACTATTCGAGCATAATGGACAGGACAACCATCTTGTTGAAAGTAACACCTTGCACGATAATAAATCGGTAGATCGTCCAACCTTTCATTTAAAAAATGTTGTAACATATCTAAATACGTATGCTGATTTTCAAAAAAATATGGTCCAATTATACCATGATAAGAAATTGCACACCATACATTAACTTTAGCCGAATATTGTCGATTACGAGCGATTCGGAAATAGGGATTGTGATTTCTCCAGTACCTCACATGCTAAGATGAAACAGTACCATTGGTTGAGAACGTGGCTTCATCAGAAAATATAATATCTCGATAAAAGTATTGATTATCCATGATTTGAGCACCCATCCACAAGCAGAAATCCAAACGTTTTGCGGAATCTCCGTGCTCTAAAGCGTGATTAAAAATTGGTTTGTAAGGATGAATTTTACATTGTTTCAATATTCTTTGAATGTGTTTTACTTATCCCCAATTGAAGCGATCTTCGTCGTAAAGACGATAAGAGTGGAAGCGTCATCTTCATTGCGATCTACCTTAATTTTCTTTACATCCAAAACGGAGCCAGTAATTAAGAATTTCTTTATTAATTTTTGTGCACCACATTTTGAGATGTAAATATCGGGAAACTTTTGATTAAATTCTTCTATAACTCGTCGGGTTGCTTTATCACCTAACACCTACCATAGCACTGTATTAAATAAATTCGTTGATCTTTCGACAACATTGTCATTAATTTTGACAAATTTTCGTTTAGACTGACAATGAAACAATTTGATTTTTGTTGAATTTTTGCAATAAAAACTTAATAAACAATAGTCGTGTTAACTGTTGCCATGAAAACGAAAAGTAATTTTTGGGACTTAAACAAATATTCAACTAAAAGGACATATTTTTTTATGTTTCTCTTTAACGGAAATGAAATTTGAAACGGTGGAAACTGATTCAGCCATTTTGAAACAAGCAAAAACTATTATGAAGAATACATTTTTCTCGTAAAATGAAAAATAAAGAAGTTTCTCCTCTTGGCAACCCTATAAGGGGACATACTGTATATGTAAGTATTAAATAATATCATATAAATGTAATTATGATAAACTAAATTAAGCTATTTTATAAAAAGATGTTTGATTTACATTTTAAAAAGAACCTCTTACGAGTTTTTAATTAATTTCGACAATTTTTTGATAAAAATGTCCGCCATTTAAGGTCTAACATTTTGAATTTTGGAATTCTGATTCCAGATTCATTATCAGCGACCCCAAAAACCCCTGTATGGTGATTTTCAATTTATTCGGTGAATTTTTTGACAAATATGTCCGCCATTTTGGAACTACCATTTTGAATTTTGGAATTCTGATTCCAGATTCGTTATCAGCGACCCCAAAATTTTAAGGAGGATCCGACTTCTCCTTGATATTTTGCCGAAAATGTCGAGAATAGAAACACTGTGTGCCGTGAAAAGTTTTTGTCTGTGTTCGATAAATTTTGCCCTCTGTTTTAAGGTATATTTATGAAATTTTATTATTAAAATAATTGTAATAAACCAGGGAAACAGTTCCCTTACAGGGCCCTCCTACGCCTTAAATTTTATGTCTTAGAGAAAGGGTTGGGGAACTGGTTGGGGTGTTATTTTTCTGGTTCAAACTTTACGTACCGTGCTGGGACGGTCACTACTCACTAATAACCATGGACTTGTAACGCATTTCTGGTATGGTTAAAAAACATATGTTTTACACAAATTTTATACTGTTATATTTCTTTAGAAATTATCCCTGTCTCTTTCTCTCTCTCTTACTCATACACTTTTTGTATATTAAAATGTTAAAACCATTTAAAAGTATATTATAACATACATATTATGCGTTTGCCTTATTGGTTTGATGTTCTTGTATTAGTGTGTACACGCATTTTTTGGCATCTGCCTCCACTATGGAGCCGATCGTTTCGACTTCTATAATAGCGTCCTCGATAAAATTGGCCAACTTTTCTCCCTTCTGCTGAACTTGATTTTTTATGTCTTCATATTCGTTCAACATTTCCGTCGGAAGGTTGTTAATTTTTTGACCTATAGCTGGCATCGCTTCCGAAATGTACTGCGCATCGAGTTCATTTAATTTTTCTTCTATGGTCGCAATTTCGTTTTGTATGTCCACCAGGATGGCGTTCGATTTGGTTTGGTAGCCTTGGTACAGTTGTCTCACCATGCGAACCTAACAGGGACGTTTTTGAATGGACTTAAATGGAAACGCAGCTCGAGATCTCACGAACGATTTTCCCCGATTTCATTCCTCTGGACTTCACGATTCAATGACTCGAGAAAAAATCAAAAGGTTCGTGAAATCATTTGCTTGTGTTCTAATTATAACCAGTGTTGTAACAGTTACAATATTTTCAGTATCTAGCTACAGTTACAGTTACTTACCAAAATTTGTAGCTAGATACAGATACAGATACATATTTTATTGCAGTAACTAGTTACAGATACAGTTACCGTCAAAAAGTATCTAGATACTTTAAGATACATACAAATTAGTTTTTGCTTCAAAAATTTAAAATAGAAATAAAAGGGAATTTTTAATACAAGTACTTATTTTTATACATATCATTTTTGTAACAAGATTCTTTAAATTTAAATTGTAAACAAACTTTACCTGTCAAACGTGCAGATTACAGAAAACTGTATCTACCACGGTTTTTAAAACCTTTTATAACCAGTTTAGTATATTTCTTTACTCAACGAAAGTACCTAAATTCGTTAAAAAATAATGACCATATATTATATGGACATACTGTTGGATGCGTTCAGAAATTAAAAATTGTGTCAGAAGTGGAAGTTGACATGTTTTCCTTGTCTCAATAAATAATAGTCGCAGTTTAATTAAAAATGTATCTTTGTATCTTAACACACCTAGTTACTTAGAATTTGTAATTAGTTACAGTTATAGTTACTAGATTGGGATAAGTAACTAGTTACACAAACAGATACATAAAAATTATCTAGATACTGTATCTAGTTACTTGTAACTAGATACATTACAATACTGATTATAACACTAGTTTACAGCCATTTTGCCCACCATGTCTCACTATGATTTTCTAGTGTAGTTTGGCCCACTAAACGCGAAAATCACACTTAAAATTTTTTTGATGGAAGCTTTTTCGAGATATGAATTTTCAATTGTTTTTTTTTAATTTTCTGAAGTGTTTTGACGTTTTAGAGTATACTTCGAGTTCTAATTGATTGATTTGACCAAACAAGCAGTTAAATCAAAGGTAATAGACTTTTCAAGCTCTTATTTAAACGAGGGGAAACCACTGATTTTTTAAAATTAAAAATCGCTTACGATATAACGGCTAAGGATAACAATAAAAAGGGTAGTCAAGCGCAACGCTTCGCTAAGCACTGATTAAGCAAGTTTTCCTTATTGATAAATTGGAAAAAAATCACAACACAACGTCCACTAACATTGAACGTTGGTCTCTAAGATTTTAAAGTGGTTTACCCCTCGTATTTAACAAACCTTTCCTAACGAGCTCTACATATTTATACAATGAACTAAATGTGTTAAACATTGTTGAGCTAATAATGCTGGATAGTGTCAAAGTGATGTATAAACTTGGAAATAACCTAATAAAAACAGCTGTGAACCTAACTAAAAACTGTAATAAACATAAACATAACACGAGGACCAACCAGCATTATCACATTGCTTCAAATATTACTAAGTTTGGAGAAAGGAGAATAACACAATCTGCTCTGAAATGATACAATGAACTTCCTGAGACAACAAAAAACCAAAGAACAATAATAGTATATTGTTTTATTAGGAGTAAAAGCAAGACTTTTTGTGGTGAGACTGAATGTTTGCCGGCCGAACGTAGTGAGGCTGGCAAATTTCAGGCGAGCCACAAAAAGTGCTTTTACACCGAATAAAACATGCTATTTTTTCCGCAAACGGTTTTCAAATGAATATTTTTAAAAAAGATAAAGAAAAATGTAATTCTGTGGCTTAAAGGTTGTCAAGGCAAAAAAATATGACATTTCAAAAAAATTATGACATTTCAACCAAAACATTCACAGCAGTAACAAAGGGACTGTGCATCTGTTCTTTGCTGTGCATTTTTGGTGAGTAGATGAGCTAGACTTGTAGTATTAAAATATATTAAACAAATTTTCTTATAGATTACATTATGTCTGATTCTGAACTTAACTGTACGCCGCCCGATGTTGTTAACATTGCTCAAGCAGCTACGAACGATTTAATTCCAACTAATTTAAGCAGAGTTTATAATCATGCTTATGAAAGATTTCTCACGTGGTGCAATGAGAAACACATTACAAATTATTCGGAAAATGTGCCTCTAGCTTATTTTTATGAACTAGCAACCAAACTTAAAATGAAGAGTTCCACAATGTGGTCCCAATATTCCAAGGAATTGCTGAATATCAAACATGGATTAGATTTTAGCAAATATATGAAGCTACCAAATTTATTAAACTCTGAACAAAATGGTGATGACTTAGAAGTTAATAACTCAAAAGTTGCATTAAATTATTCCGGTGCAACCTTAAATAATTGTATTTTTACCATTAATTATCGTTAATAAAGTTTAAAAGTATGTCCTTTGTTTATATATCCCTAGTTCAATGAATTTTTACTTTCTCTTTTAAATTTATATAATTTCACTTTTTTGTACGCCCGTGAGCGTACAAAAAAGTACTTTTTTCTACGCTGCTATGGGCAACCATCCGCCGTCTGTGAAATCAAACTTTGACATCATGAATTGAACTTAACAAAGTTGACATTTTTTGACGTTTGCGGAAAAAAACATTTTCGACATCGGTCAAAAACTATTATTTATCTATAAGAAAACTGTGATAACTGCCTGTACCACATATTTATATTTTATATTTTAATGTTTTTATATAATATTTGTTGAATATTTTTATTTTTCTACTATTGTACCTGCTATGGAATCATGTATTCTTTTTGGGTTTAATAAATTTAAAAAAATTAAGCCCTCTACAAATTTCTCTTGTATAGTTTTGGTATCGGCTCAGTAGTTTGATACTGGCGATTTTTAGTGGAAAAGTCCTATTTTTTTTTACAAAATTTTACATATCTTTCTGGAAAAGATAAAAATCAAAAAGATAATTTCAGTTTGATTTATTTTGCGTATATTTTAATTAAAGGAAAAAAATAAGCTGCTGTTTACAAAAATCCATGAATTTTTCAGTGAAAGACCAAAATTCAGTTTTTCGAGAATTTTTACGTTTTTTCTTCATTTTATTGAATTATACAAATTTTAATATTGAACATTGATTTTTATTTTAAACATTAAATATTGAAATTAAATTATATATTGAATATTAAACAATACATTGAACATTGAAGTTTTATTTTGTTGTAATAAGCATAGGTTTAAAAAAATTCTGGCTCCTTCTTTGTTTTTTGTTGCTTTTGTATTTCGTTTCTCGTATGAGGGACCAACTGTAATCACCCATCATGGCTGCATCCCAGAAGCCGTGATAGCGCCGCTCCATAGCCTTCATTTGCTGGTGAAAACATTCTCCGTGCTCATCACTTACGTCGCCCAGATTGAGCGGGCTATTTACGCATTCGAACTCTCTACTTCTTTTACTCATTTTACACTTTTTATTAACTTAATAAAAACATGATAAAAATACCTTGTTGAAATATCAAAAAATATCAGTAAAATGTTACTATGCCAACACGAGAAACAAAAGAATTCACGTTTGCGGAGTCATGTCAAATTTAAATTTTGAATAATGTTTTCGGTGAAAAAAGTACGTAAAAAACTCAAAAAATTCCCATCATGCACTTTATTTAGGTTTCCATTAAAGAATAAACATATTGCAAAATAAAAGAAAAATAAAATAAAAATCGTCAAAAAGCTGAATTTTGGTCTTCCACTTAAAAATTCATAACTTCGCCATTTTTTCATGCATTTTTATCCACATTGTTTTTGTAAAAATGTCAACTTCACGAAAAAAAATTCAAACTGGAGTTATCTGTTTGATTTAAACCTTTCCCAGGACGATATGTAAATTTTCCACCTCAATAAAACTAATTTTTTAAGTTATTAACATCGCTAGCGTCAAAATACTTATCCGATATCAAAAGTATGTAAAAAAAAGATTTAGAGGGCTCAAATACCTTCAATTTGAGGGCTTGTTTTACCAAATCGATTAATTAGATTTCGTCAAAATACCTCCGAAAATTGAAAAAAAATAAACAATTGAAAATTCATATTTCAGAGTGTGATTTTCGTGTTTAGTGGGTCAAAATACATGGGAAAATTATAATGGGATATGGTGGGCAGATTTTTTTTTAGATTTGGTAAACTAGTGTAATCTGTGGTTCTAAAGAATATAGTCAAATGCATGGTACAAGAAAACAAGGTATTGCGCATTTGTTTCCACCACTCCATCAGATTGGCGAAGCCGCCATATTGACTATTTACATTTTGATGTGAGTTGTTTTTTAAGCTATTTTAAAGTTTTTTAAGAGTAAATGTCTACCTGGCATGTAAAATCTGTAAAAAAAATGCCAAAGAAAAAACCTGTTAATCCAACACATTTCCCTTGAAAAAATTGATGTTTGGGATAGTAAGTAGATTTATTTTAAAAAAATATTTAAATAGCAGTAGTTTTTTAGAGGTACTTTTCTTTTGTATACATTAGGGTGTCCCAAAAAAAATGAATATTTTTTTTCTTCTCGTCTCTTGTAAAAATATGTTGGTTTGTCATGTTTTAAGAGCCCTGTCAAAAGATCAGCACCATTAAAAAATGTTTAGGGGTCGCTCAAGATTTTTAAAAATTACCAAAATCGTCAAAAATTGGATTTTTTTTAATTTTATTTTTTTTTCTCGTTCCGATATTATTTTTTAATTTAAAAATAATAATGATTCTGAAAATTTCAAATCGATATTTTAATTTCTAAAGGTCGCTCAAGATTTTTTTAACTTTCAAAGTAGAGTATTTTGAATTTTTTCGAGCGACCTCTGAATTAAAATATCAACGAACTTTTAGCGACCTTTAGAAATCAAAATATTGATTTGAAATTTACAGAATTTTTATTATTTTCAACCTAAAAAATAATATCGAGACGAGAAAAAGAATTAAAATAAAACAAAAATTCAATTTTTGACGATTTTGAAAATTTTTAAAAATCTTGAGCGACCCCTACAAAATTTTTAATCGAGCTGATATTTTGAAAGGGCTCTTACAGCATGATAAACTAACATATTTTTACAAGAGACAAGAAAAAAAAATAAATTCTTTTTGTTTGGGACATCCTAGTATACATATCTATGTATATATCTGTGACAGTTATATAAATAAAAAAATAATTTAGGTTAATATTTTTGTTTGTTTTGTAGCTTTTATTTGTCCCATTTACTTTGAAGATGGTTTCCATAAGAAGAAAAACTGGATCAAAAAACAACAATCTACAAAAACTACATTCCCATAAAAATGTCCAAGTTAACCCTTAACAGCTGATCTTTCAAATGAGAAATCAAGTACTTTGAAATAAAATTGGAAAAAACAATATAATTAATAATATAATATAATATATAATATAATATAAAACAATATAATTATATCATAAATCTTTTTACAGTTTACAAGAAATGGGACAAAACCAGGAAGCATAATATGAAGACAGTCCGTAACAGAAACTCAAGTACTGCAGTGTATAAAATTAAAATAAAATTTGAAAAACAAAATTAATTAAAATTAAACCTTTCTTTTTGCAATATTCTGGAAATGTGCCGAGACAAGAAAGTTAATGATCTGTAAGGACTTAAGGACAGTCCATAACAGAAACTTAAATTGCAGCATGCTGCTGATAAGTTTATTTTGTTTTATTCAATGTCGGCTCCATGGTGGCCAATTTAGGGTTTTTATTTGGCAACTAAACCTAAATTCCAATTATTTGTAAACAACATTTTAAATAAATAAATTTAGAACAAATAGGTTTACATTTTTCTTGCAATGTTAATGTTGTAACTTGACACATACTTTTCATTGTATATTCTTTATATTTACTATAAAACAGGATATTTTATTTCATTGAAAACATTTGGCTTTAAATTTTTCTTAGCACTATTTTATATATTTTATTTAGTACCTATTTATAAAATATTATTTACATTAAAACAATATATTTTATTTAATTGAAAAAACATAAAATATTTGTTTTTTTTTCAAGCGGCCATGATTTACAACCTTATGTATAGAGATAGTTGAAGTGCGTCCTACAATAATTTTTCTATAAAAATATCACTTTTTTGGTAATAATTACCTTATTAAATGAAATCTGATCTTTTTAAGTACTCACGACTAAAATTTAAGTTTTCTTTGGTTTAAGTTTTATACATTATTTCATTCAGTGATAATTATCAATTGCGCACCATGGTCACTTTTTACCTGCCAGCCTTAAATCCTTTAATTTAAAGGATTATTGTACTATTTTTAATAAAAATACCTGATTTAGGGTAAAAAAACATTACTTTGTCAATTAATTAATTTAATCTCAATTGAGGAATACAAAAATGGTATTTAGTTATAAATATTAATTATTATTGAGGTATAAAGAAACTATTTATACATAGTTTAGGATTATTAAATCAATTTAGTTCGAAGATTAATTTGCAAACAAAAAGACCTCCTTTCGTTAAGCAGTTATTTATAATGGATTTTTTAACAGTGGAAGAAAAAATAGAAATGATTTTGATTTATGGAGAAGCAGGCAGGAATCTTGATGATGCTGTTAATATCTACGCTCAGCGTTTTCCGAAAAAAATTCGATCACGTACTTCATTTCACCGTACAGTCAAGCAGTTTACTACAAACGAGAGTGTTCAACGGAAAAAAAGAGTTCGTCGAGCAACAGTGACAGGTGGAAATAATGAAATTAATGTATTAGCAGCAACGGCCGCTAATCCTCATGCAAGCACACAAGAATTATCTAGAGATTTGGGAATATCCCAGAGCAGTATTAGCAGAATATTAAAACGAAATAATAAATGCATTGAAGTCGAAGGCCACCATTTTGAGCACCTACTTAAATTAAAATTTAAAAAATAAATAAATAAATTTAAAAAATAAAACCAAGTATTTTATTCAAAAATTATTGGAGAATCGTATAAGAAGAAAAATCGAAAAAAATTGATTTTTTTTCATTACAGCGCCATCTATTACAAATATGAAAAAATGTTTTTAGACAAAATCTACCTATTTTTTGTTAAATGATCCGAATCTGCAATAAAAAACTTGTTGTTCCATTGGAAATTTTAAAGTTACCCCCTGTTCCCCCTTTAAGGAGGAGAGTATGAAGACTAATTTTAGTATTGATTTCCCCCCTCAAATCATTTAATTTTTATTTTAAAAATTTTTTTGTAAAATGCATACCAACTGAGATATTTTAAAGTTTAAAGTTAAATGACTCACCCTGTAAACTATAGTGATCTTTAAAATCGGGAAAAAGTGAGGTTATTATAAATTTTGTTATCAATGAAAATTACTTAATTGGAGTAAAAAAAGCATAGTATTACACTCGAAATAATGCGCATTATCTCTCGTATAATAATATACTATTTTTGAAATGTTAATAGGTATTGTGACTTAGATAATTTTTGACGTGTGATCTTCAAATTATTCGACAATTTAAGCTTAATTTTAATGTATCCGTTTGTACGTTTTTTAATAAAATCGTCCGATAAGAAATGTTCTAATTTTCGAATTTGGCGACAAATAATAATTAAGGGTCAGTATATTCACTTTACTAAATTTACCTAATGCTTGTCATAGTTACAATTATGTCAACAATAATTAATAATTAGACAGCTAACTGTTAAAGTTGCAATTATTGCAACTTTAACAGTTAGCTGTCTAATAAATTTAAAGGTAGGTAAATATACCATATAAAAAGAATATACTAGCCTTAATTTACATTAAAATGTATAGTTTAAAAAAAGCAGGTCCTTTTAGTTCTGGTTTTAATATTTTATTGTTTGTCTTTTTTTTTCTGTTATTATTATTAAATAAAAACATAAAAGTACAACATTATTCACATAACGAACGTTATATTTCCGTTTTACAATCTTATTAAAAGAATATTAAAAGATTTGAAAATAAAGTTTCTTAAAATAAAGTTAGGCCGCCTAACTTAGGCGTCAAAAACAGATGTGTAGTGACAGATTAGTTAAAATTATTTTAACTTTCTCCGTCAGACGTACGAAGTTAAGACTTGACGGACCGAAAAAATGTCATAATTTTCGAATTATAATTGGACCAATAAGAGCGCTCCCGGATGAACGGACTAACGGACAAACGGATACATGAAAATTAAGCTTTAACTAAAAATTAAATAATTTTATATAATTTTTTTATTAAATTCAAAGGCGGGAATGAACTAAGATGGCGGTAACTGGGTGGTGCGCAAAGTGAACCAAAATTCGTCCTACTGAAGAACATACCTTGTTTTCATGTACCATAGTCAAATGTAAAATTGTCCGCTGAATCCAAAAGTAAAACAAAATTATTTTGCTTCCATAACTGTTCGGCGAACAATTTTACATTGGAATTAAACAAAATTATTGCTAGTGCAATCTTCCGCGAAAAAAATACCTCGTGACCTAATTTTTCTTTAATCTTCGCTATAACCCGTCCACGCTCATTGGTCAATTTCTCCTTGGCAGGGCCAAGGCAATTTTCTGCCTGTATCGAAAAATCGTGCGCTCTTCTTTCCAAAAATTGTAACATGCTCTGATACTGACTGAACTTAGCGTTTATGGTCATAGCGGTGGTTTCCGTTATCATTTGCTCTTGCCCATTAAAATAACTCAAAAAATTTTGTATATCCTCTTCATCTGCGTCTATTCTTGTTTTAACGGCGTTTCGCAGATCGTTCAGCACTGCTTGGAATTGTTCTTTGTTGTTTGAGGATGCCATAATACACTCTTCAATTTAATACAGGGAATTTGGATGAAATGGTTGATGAAATGATTTGAACCGAACGAGAATTTAACGCATGTCAAAAATGTTTATAGGTTATAATAAACTGACACGTTAAACAATACTCTAATACAATTCAAGCCACGCCCTTCCAATAGATGGTGCTGATAACTTCCGATTACACTATGATGAGTTCACACAGGTCCACACTAAATAGTGTTGTTTTATAAAACTACAATTAGAGTTAATTTGTAGTGTAATTTTCCCCAAGTAAGCAAGTATGATTTAACACTATAGCACTGAGGATAAAGTAATTTTACACTGTATTAAAAAGTGTTAATTTACCTAAAATCATGTATACTTCCTGGGTAAAATCCCACTTTTGTTCGGTGTAAATTAACATTACTTTGGAAAAGTTCTAATTTTAGAAAGGTATTTTTACTCTTTTAGTGCAAACTTCTAGTGTAAATTAACACTATTATTTGAGTAAAACCTATTGGTGGTAGTGACTAAAATGAAAAGATAAATAAAGAGAAACATTTATTTGGAACAAAAGCCTATGACAATAATTATTATCAAAATTGGTGCCTTTTAAAATATAATTTTATATTTGAGTCGTATGGCTGGCTTAAGCAAAATGGTTCCTTAAAACGTAAAAGTTTTAGATCAATGCAATGTTTTACTGGCTGTCAACTTGTAAGCAATGAATTATCTTGAGAATTCATCAGTAATCCATTTTTCTGTTATAAAAAATGGGTGATCCCATTGATAGAGAGGCGTCAGGCGGCTGTATGTCGGGATATTTACCACACCTGAACAATTTTCCATAATATTAATAAAAATGTAGGTATAGGTTAATATAAAAACCATTACGCTTGACAATAAAAGTAAATTAAGTGTGTATGTATTTATATTATTAAGTACCCGACCTACTGCCGTAAATTATTGATATATAATATAGGTCGGCTATGGACATCCTTTTAACATATAATATGTTAATAATTGCAATACCATGGTATTTATTTAGTATTAAGGCTTAAAGAAAAATGAAGTATAATTCTTACCAAAAAATAAGAATGTCCCCTTATGGATTCACCGTAATTAAAATCTAACTAATCTAATTTGGCAAAGCATTTTATAACGCAATTATTTCGAATCCTATAGGATTTGAAATAATTGCGTTATAAAATGCTCTGCCCAATTATCTCAAAATGTAAGTTTTTTGTTAATATTTTGATTCTTTATTAAATTATTTTGCCTTAAATTTATTTTGGATGTTCAGTATATGTATGACGTTTTTTGTCAAAAATTTACAGGGACTCCATACAAAGTCATCGGTAGATAAATGTCAAATAGAAATTTTGTTTGTTCCATTGTAGCCGTATACTATAGTAGTATTATATAAGGGACATTAAATAAAGCACTTTCCTGCAGAGAAGTGCTTTATTAAATTCCAAAACTAAAATTATAATGTTTTTATGGTAAAAAGTATCATTTTTTGAAATTTTTGTGTCGTTTTTTGAATTACTAATTAAATTAAAAAGGCAACAAAGTAAATGGGTTTCGGTATAAGCATTATAATACTCTTCGAATATTATTTGATATGTTTTTATTCACATCATGCCTAAAGTATCCAAAAGAGAGAGAAAGAGAAAGAGAAAAACCAACGCAAAATTTCATTACAAAATTTTATGAGATATACCTACTACTTTTATTTTGCAGAAATATTAAATCGACCTGATATACGACGATTAATGAAAGATCAAGCATTCAAAAATGCAAAGTTTAAATGTTCTTGGTTCACGGGCCTAAAATTGGCGCCAAATCATAAAAAAAATGCTTTCCGTTTTGCAAAGAATTGTCACTTAAAATACATTTTCTTTTTTTTTTCTTCCTGATAAATTTGCCGAACTGATGAACATGGAGAACGACTTCACCAAGTAATTGCAAATCTAGACCATTGGTAGATATCTATGGGTATAGCGGAAAAAAGTTGAATTCATTGCTAGGAGACATTTGCTGGAATTTGCAGCAAAAGATGTACGACGATGATGAGGATTAGGCTCAATAATACTATAATCCAATTTGATATTTGATACGATTTAATAAATTTAAGGTAGAAAAAAGCAAAATTATGCAATGTATTAAATTTTGAGGGCTTAATTTGGATAAAAAATACTGAAACTTGTTTAATTTGTAGCCCTTTCAATTTAATAATTAAAATAAACGACAAAAAATGTCAAATAATGGTTTTTTATATAAAATACATTAAAATTTTAGTTTTAGTACCTATTTAAAATGTCGTATTGTTAAGATAAATATAATCTTTTTGCCGTATACCAATTACTTTAGCACATTCAAGATAAATTTAAGCCAAAATAATTTAATTAATAATTGAAGTATGTACCAACAAAAAACTTAGGTACATTTCGAGGTGATTGAGCAAAGCATTTTATTACGAAATTATTTTAAATCCTAGACGTCCTATCTATAGAAAAACTAATTACATTTTTGAAATCAGCGGCTCAAAATTAGCTGCAGCTACTGCATGGAGTACTTAATGTTAGGAAAAAAAGTTTGTAAAACTATCATAGTGTTATTGCTGCCTATAAAGCGGCTGATAAAAGTTTGTTCAGATGTGGTCCACTGTGGAACTTTCGCACCACACGGCTACCCGACACTAATGAGATCCAAAAGACGAAACTGAGGGAGCAATCATAATATTTGAAACTTTATTATATAATTTTACTGGAAAGTTGGCTATAATTGAATCAACTACGGATACATTTATATATGGATGAAAATTTACACAAAGGAGGCTTCATGATATAGTTTAGAGTTAATATTGAATTTAACACTTTACGAATAAACTTCGTTAATAGTTTTGGAGCTGTTCAGCGTTTATTTAAAATAAACCGGGTGAAAGTTCCATGATACAAATTCAATTTAAAACTTTATAATTATATTATATTATATATATTATATAATTATTATCATAGTTAATAGTATATTATATATCAATTTTAATAAACGCCATTTTAATTAGGCACGAGCGAGCTTGCGAGTATATAGAACAGTTTTAAACAAGTTGCATACTATACTTTTTCCACGACAATTTAAACATTATTTAAATTAAATATTTGTATTGAGCGACATTTATTCAAAAATAGAATAATAATTATCACATTTAGTATTATTTTACACGAAAGGCACTTTATTTTAACGATTGTATGACATTTGACAACTGTTAACTAACTTAAAACTAACTTTGGCCTGTTGCAAACATCAGCCCGTGAGTAAAACGCCATAAGTGTCATGGAAACATGTACGATAATGGGCGTTTTATAGGGGAAAGTAAAAAAATAAATAGAGAAATAGAGAGGGTAGATCATATTATAAAATAAATTAACACATATATTTTTTTTATTAAATGTAACAGCACACAGTAAAAAATATTTGTTAATTTGAACCAAATACTCGTATAACTAGATTTTATGTTAATTGAGGTCCACATAACTTTATATTAACCCTTATGCAGGCGCACCTCTTTATGCAACGTAGTAGGTCGCGCGGGGTGTCAGAGACACCCCTGATGGCAAAGTGTGTTATTTACATTTTTTTTTTGTTTTTTTTTAAGGTAATCAAGTTAAGATGAGCTGAGAGACAATGAGAACATATTTCGTTGCGTTCAAATTTGATAAAAGATGACAAAAAAAAGAAAATGTCAAAAGACGACAATTTTAATCAAATAAAGCATTTATTTAAAAAAAAACAAATTTTAAAAGTAATAATAATAATAAAAACAAAAAAACACTAAGCACTTAAGATAAGGTTTACTTTTACAAGTAATTATGATTTGGTAAAAAAAAAGTCAATAGGGAGGCGAAACCCAGCCTGCTCACGGGGTGTCCACAGCACCCAGAGCCTGTTTAAAACAAAATACCAGACAACCTATTACATTAACTTCAAAATCGGCAATGTAATATGATTGAGAATACTTTGACAGGAAGGTACTGAAAGTAAGCGCCATTTATTCGAATCGAAGTGAGACCGGTAGCTATATTTAGGAAGCTGGGGTGTTTTGTACACCCCGCGTGCCTGCTTAAGGGTTAAGTTTACAACCAACTGTAATCTATTAACTAATTGAATCGATGAAAAGTTAAAATTTTGAAAAATCGTTTTTATACGCTAAAAAAGTATCGCTAGTAGCGCCACCACTCGGCTGTTATCATCGTAACAAAAGTACAACTTTTTATAATCAGCTGTCAAACGAGTGTTTTTGAGAATAAAGCCGGAAAATGTTAAAAATATATCGAAAAAAAAACAGTGGTACGATTTGTTGTGTTGTTGGGTGTATTTCGAGAGGAAATCCTGGGTTGAGTTTTTATCGGTTTTCCAATAAAAAGTGTTAATCCGAATGAAGAAATAAATTTCATACAGTCCCTGTAAATATAAATTGTATCTATACAAACAATGGTTTTCTACCAAAAATTATGATAAAATTTTACAAAATAAAATTAAGAAACTACAAACATATGTTAACAAATCTGATTTTTATAACTTTAACCTGTTGACAAGTTGTTTTGGAACGAGGAAACGAACAAAGTTTTAAGCAGTATATTTAAAATAGCATAACATCAAATATTTTTTATTTTGGTTTATTTTGCTGCAGTATTCTACCTTAGAATTGTCCAAAGTTTGGACTCCAAACACTTTAGTGTACAAAAGTTTAAAACAAATTTTAATATTCCACTGTTAAGGTTAAACATTTCTAAACTTTTAAAAAGCTTAGAAATATTCCTCCTTATTAGTAGTCTATGCTGACTCTCTTATAACAAAATGCACTTGAAAAATGTTTGGCCATAATTCATTGTGAAAAATAAGTTGTAGAAAAGGATACTTTAATTTTGAAAGGGATTTATAACTGCGGAGCCATAAGTATTTTTCGTTTAACACATATTTTATTTCAAACGAATTGATGAATTTTATTTTTCTAATTAAATTGTATTTTGTTTGAATTGTGACGTCTACTTTGATTTTTTTAATGCAAAGTAAACGTGTAATAAATTATCAAATAATTTATTATACACTGTTAAATGTAATTATTTTACCAAGGCTTATACAATGTATACAGATAAGTACTATTTACATAATATCCCAAACAAAGACAAATGCACAATGCACCCTTATTGTACATTATCATGGCCAAAGGATATTTCTATTCACTCTAAAGGAACTAAAGCATATTT